ATTTCAGGAAACAACATATGAGCAAAAGCCTGTGGTGATAAAGGAACAAGTTCAAACTGCTCTGAAAGAATTGGCAAAAAACAAGGCTCCAGAGATTGCCAGCATACCAATTGACATACTTCAACAAACAGACGCTGCCCTGGATGTGCTCGCTAAGTTGTGTCAAGAAATCTGGAGGACAGCCACCTGGCCAACTGACTGGAAGAGATCTATGTTTGTTCCCATTCCAAAGACAGGTGACCTGAAAGAATGCAGAACTTATCAAACAATATCATTACTATCACATGCAAGCAATATTCTGCTGAAAATTATCCAAAAACGACTGGAGTAGTACATCAACAGAGAACTGCCAGATATGCAGGCTGGGTTTAGGAAAGGCCGTGGTACTAGGACTACGATAGTTAATGTTAGATGGATCTTGGCTGAAAACAAAGAGTACCAGAGGAATGTCTATCTGTGTTTCATTGACTATGCAAAGGCATTGACTGTGTTGATGACAACAAACTGTGGCTGATTCTGAGAAGAATGGGAATCTGAGAACATTTGATTGTGCTTATGCACCAGGAAGCAGTCATCAGAACAGAGCAAGGAGAAACTGCAAGGTTCAAAATCGGGAAGGGTGTGCACCAGGGATGTATTCTGTCTCACATACCTTTTCAATCTATATGCAAAACAGATAATCCAGGAGACTGGGCTGTCTGAGGAGGAAGGTGACATCAGGATTGGAGGACAATTCATCAACAACCTGTGTTATGCAGATGACAAAACCCATCTTGCTAAAACTGTGGAGAACCTGAAGCACTTGATGCAGAAGGCAAGAAAACAAAGATTCTCACCCCTGGGCCAACTGGTAGCATCAGGATGGATGGTGAAGAGATTGAGATTGTTAAAGCTTTAGTTTGCTTGGTTCCACAATCAACACTCTTGATACCAGCAGCCAGGAAATCAAGAGATGAATTGCATTGGGAAAGTCAGATGTCAGGGACCTCTTCAGAATACTGAAGAACAGCAACGTCAGTCTGGAGACTATGGTGCACCTGATCCAGACCATAGTCTTCACAATTGCTTGCTATGCATCAGAGAGCTTGACAATGACTAGGGATGATAGAAAGATAATTGATGGTCTTAAGTGACCACACTAACCTTTAAAAGCAAAAAAAAAAAAAAGAAAGATAATTGATTCCTTTGAGCTGTGGTGCTGGAGGAGTATTGAATATACCATGGACTGCCAGGAGAACAAATAGGTTCGTCCTAGAGAGGGTGAAGCCAGGCTGCTCCTTGGAGACAAGGCTTCTGAGGCTTCGTCTGACATATTTTGGGCATGTTGCAAGGAGGGACCAGTCCTTGGAGAGGGACATCATGCTTGGAAGGGTGGAGGGAGAGAGAAAGAGGAGACCATCAATGAGATGGATTGATACAGTGACTGGTGTAATAAGGGTAGGTGTGTCAGAGACAGTAAAGTTGGCACAGGATAGAGCAGGTTTCAGGGTCACCCTGAGTCACAGCTGACTTGAAGGAACATAACAACAACAACAGTTTCATAAAAAACTATCTTGTATAAAAATAGAATGGTGCAATATTTACTACACATAAATTATTTCTAATTCCCATGATACTTTTAATTTTGTTAGGTTAATATCACAGTTTATAGGTAAAGTAAATGGCTAATAGTTGTAAATAGTTCAATTCCTATTGTATTTTACTCCAAAGCCTATGCCTCTTTAAATTTATCAGCAGTTACCAAAGTTGTGGTAAAACCAAAGCCCTACTTTTTGTTCAAACTTTATTTCACATACTTACCCTTAAGAAGATATCACCAAAGAAAGAATTTTTCTTTTACTTTTTCAAAGAGAGGCGCAAACTGGGGGG